CTTTCGAGTGGTTTTTGCAACATACTTAGGAACTAAATTCGAGTTTATGAGCTCCTACTTAGGCAGGAAACACCCTCCTGAAATTTTTCGCCTCATAGCTCTTCCGGCTTTCGAGGTAATGATTTTTCTTACCAAAACTTTCAAGGGGACGATAAGAATTTGCGGAGTCTTACGTGGGCGGGGGACTTTACGCTAGAATTTCAGCTTCCTAGCTTCCGTCGTTCCCGAGATAATAATTCTTCCTGCCAAAACTTTTACAGGGCCATACGTGTTACCCGCGGGTGCGGGAGGCTGAATTTAAATTTGCGGGTTCACACGTGGGTGGGGAAGATCTCCCTTAATTTTCGGCTTCCTAGCTTTTGTAGTTCCTGAGTTGAAAGTTGTGGACACACACACACACACACACAAACGCACGTACAGACAACTCCGAGCAATATGTGTTTTGCATCGCTGTTACACAGCACAAAACGCATAAAAATTAACTCTGCCAGCAATTATGTTTTTTGAAAAGTCCATCTTCCCATGGCTCTGGCTCTTTTTCTTTATTTTCCAATAATTCCTTCTTATCGGCATGTACTGCTCTAACTGTTTTTATAGCCAAGGGGTGGAACGCTGGCTGCTTGTTTTACATAGCTACCATGGCGTATGCCATATCGTTCTAGTATTTAAAGATATAACCAGGTCATTTCTATCTGTACAAATTGCACGGTCTAAAACACCATACGGCATGGCACCAGCAGTTGCTGGTCACTTTTGATATTGCTTCGCACTTTTATTGCACTACTAGGCGCTAATCAGACTAACATTGTTTCATATCACTCAAGCTATGCTGGACAAAACGCGACACAATGTGTTCTCGGGATTCTTGGTGCCTTTGCGGATTAGTATTCCGCCTTATCTCGACAATGCATAGTCCGCTGCTGTTCCTAAATCATGATTTGTTGCTTGCTTGGGATTTAGTGTTTATGAGAAATCATCTGCAGCACCGTTTTTATGCGTTTTTGCTCGCTATGGCAGGGCTGTAGCGCTACTGCCGAAAAGCCATCTGTTGCGTGTGTATGAATTTGTCATCCACTTTCAACTCTGCAACCAGGAAAGCTGGGAAACTGAAAATTTGGGGCATATTCTCACGCCGCGTGTTATCATTTCGTTTTAAGATCTTCCTCCACAAGCGCCTAGTTTTCGCGTGCGGAACCCTGAAAAATCACGCAGATTTCTTTGGCGGGAAGCGATTTCGCTAACCAGGCAACGTACAAAGCTGAAACTTTGCAGCGATATTCTATGTGCCTGTGTGAGCTAAAAATTTCAAATTCTGCCATTGAGCACGCTTGTGCAGCGTGTACGTCCACGTCAAAGTTTGCACCTGAACTGTGCTAACTAAAACTAGCCGAAAAACAGTGGTTGAAATTATGTCAGAATATTTGTCGTCCACATGGGAAACTGTATACCTAAAGTGAGTTCCGATTTGTACATACGCCACGACTTATGGCACTTCAAAGATATTTGTAGTGAAGTGGATATTTCGCTTATTGGATAAGCCGCAAGGCTGGAAATTCCCTGGGATATTGTACTTCCAAGTGCGGTCTTAATTCTAATTGAAAGTGAAATTTCCTGCAGGTGGGTATGAGAAATACTCAACTTTAGCACAAACTCTGAAACGAGCGCATTTTGCAGCGAACAACCGTCCTCATCCTCTCCTGACAAGTAAATGAACTCACTTACAAATTTGAATTTTTTGAAGAAGCAACATTTTCACTTTACAGTGAAGAACTGGAACTACATGCTGAGAGAGGATAAGAGCGATCGTTCGCTGTAAGACGCAGTCGCTTCTTGGTGAAACCTGCGTAAAAAGCTGAGCAAAAACGCATGCTTGCACCGGCTTCGTTGGTGCGTTCGAGTCTGATTTTCTTCTCAATTTAACGCTTTCGACCGTCGAAATTAAGCTTATTCCAGTGAATTACTTGTTTCCAGAATTTATTCGTTTTTTTTCGCTCAGCGACTTATTTTTATTATAGAGGTGTTTATCCGAGTTACTAGAAAGTGCGTTTTGACCGCTACTCTATCGGTGTGAGGCATGTTTCTCGGGGTACCAAACATCGCTTCTCAGACCATAGATTCTTCCATAGTTTGTCAACAAGCTCGAGTAATTTCAGATGATGTATGTAAGGAACCGAATGGGACATTTCCCGTTCCGGATGACTGCCACAAATTTATACAGTGCTCGAATGGTCATGCTAACATGATGCCCTGCGCACCTGGCACATTTTACGACGAAAAGACGAAACTCTGCGACCACATGACCAATGCACCGCCAACGTGCAAATGAACCAGTGCCGCAGATTCTGCGATTTTTGATGCGAGCTTCGGAAATTTTGTACAATATCGATTGGGTACCAAATGATAAGAATCGTGACGACAACCAGTCATCAAATTTCTTTGTTTCAAACTTATTCAGGGAGTTTTCAAATCTGGTAGTAATGTAGTCAAGCTTCGATAGTATTCTGGTAAATTTTAATACACAAATATTGGAATTTTAAGGTTTTTTTTGATGAGAGCTCTGATGATTTTGATAAAAAATTGTGTTACCTCAACTTATGCTATAATAAATGAAGCCTTGA